AGAAGTATGTGCAGAAAATAATGTTAGCTTCTTCACTAGTTAGTCAAATACTCAGTATGAAGAAAACTTTGACATGAGATTTGCAGTTGGATGTGATAAAGCGAAAGGTAGATCAGTAGGTCAAAAACTAAAATCTTTCGTATGTTTGCCTTCCCTATTGAAATTGTGCTGAATTAATCTTGTGATTATTTAATCAACAGATTTAAGTAGATTTAAGATTTTTTTTAATATTTTTAGTTACTGCACACAATTCATTTTTTAAAAAGCACTTGAGAATTAGCATGGTTTGAAAAAGATTGTTTGGAAATGGGGATCAGTTGTTAGTGGAAGGGAGAAATTACAGTTTCATGCAGAATAGATTCCTTTAAATGAAAGTACTTTGAAAAACTATGCTGATCCCAAAGCTGCGTTTTTTGGTTCACAAAACAATCACAAGCATTATTACCTAAACTTGAAAACAATTAGAAAAAAAATTGATAATAGGAATCAAGGCAGAGGATAATTCAGATCATCCTTGGAAAAGCAAAGGCGTTGTTTCAAAAACAAAGGAATCCAATCTAGAAATTCAGGAAAAGACTTTTCCCTAAGGATTATTCTGGCAGCATGTTGAAAAGGGGTTATAAAAGCATTAAGTTCACAACCTGCACAATAAGTTAAGTAAATGTTAGGGAAGTATTTCCTTTCTTATGCTAAGAGGGGCATACCTTTAGTTTCTTGTGCCAGCAGAGCTGCTTCTAAGCCTGGGAGGACAAGAAAGTAGTTGGTTGTGGAAGACAAATTGCCCTCTATGTGGGCGTGAAGGAAAGGCTTAAAGAAGCACGGAGGAGCTCCCAGCTGTTGGCAGTAAAGTCAGACCAGCTCTCCAGGAGTTGTTCGTGCCGTGTGAAAGTGGGTAGTCCTCCGAAACTTTTACAGCATGGACGGGTTGCCCCTTGCTTTGGTGGTCATTTGGCTGTTTCGTTTGTTGTGCAACCTCTTGCCTTTTTCCTGTGGAGGCTGCAATACGCTGCTGTCCTGGGCACAGGTGACCCTCTTCTCAGATACTTAAGTCAGTCACTCAACTGCAGTGAAAATAACGGGAGTTATGTTGGCATCAGCTTCCTCTGGTTACATTCATTTCTTCCGAGGCCAGTGAGTTGGATAAGATTTAACAGTTCTGTTCTCTACCTAGAGAATTGATCGTATCTTTGCTGAAGTCCAGATAGTAAGGTGGGGTTGAACCCAAAGTAAAATCCAACCCCTTGTGTTATTTTACTGCTCCTAGTAATTTAGGGAAGTAGAGGTGTTTATATGCTTTATGAACCAGGAAAGCAGGAGGGAAGGGAGGTTCACGTTTTTAAATGAAAGGTGATTGACTGTTTTAAATGCCAACAAATATTCCTAACAAATGGCAGCCTCTTTTGCACACCTATTTATTTTTAGAGAACTACATGTCACAGGTTAAAATTACTTAGTATAGTAACAGTTGCTTCTCATTCTCCATTACATTGATTTTAGCTAAAAAGCAGAGATTGTGTGTCTATGCTATTTTTTTTTGTAATGGGAAGTTCAGAGATTGTTGGGGTTTGCTAAACGTGACCAGCAGTCTCCATTGTTTGCATTCCTTTGCAGTTACTTTTACATACATATAGGGAATTGTTAGAAAAGTCACTAAAAGTTAGACATGAATGCTGCCTTATGCCCTTACTGTTTTTAATTAATTGCTCAAATTTATGTTTTTATTTATATTGCTTGCCATAGAGTCAGATTAAATGATGTGTGCTGATGCACTGGAGGTACCTCAGGTGCTAATAGTGATTTTGGGGAGAGGAGGGAAGGATGTGGTTGCTTCCTTTCTGGAAACAGTGTATGACTGTGTGTGTGTGTTTGATGTCCACACACACACACACACACACACACACAGTGCGTCTTACAAATATGTGTTTATAACCCCTTGATTAAATAACTTGACTTAAAAAAAATCTATACTAAGGACATACTTAGAAGTGTTAAGGACTTATTGACACAGATATTCATAGCAGCCAGAGTTTTTCTTTGCTGGTCACTTTCCAGATGAGAAGAGAGGATAAGAGGATGATGGGATAACAACTTTCATGCAGATGAAACTAGGGCTGTGTCTTCCTTGCTAAGGTGAATTTTTATGGGTAAGAATGGCGACATGTAGGGGCCTGCCTGGTGGTGCAGGGGAAGAAGTCTCAGCACTGCAGGCTGTCCACAGCCACTGTGACCATGTGGGTTCTATCCCCGGCCAAGGAGCTGACTCACATGGTGCAGCAGACCTCTTCCGTTTCACACGCTGCTCACTGCTCCCCTCTCTGTGCAGTGTATCTCAGTGGATCTGCCTGTTCTGTTCCCCTCTCTTTCTCTGGTGAATCCTCTCACCCCCTGCATCTCTAGTTCTTGTATGCATAAATAAATACATCTTTAAAAAAAAAAAAGAACGATGACATACTGTTAAAGCTACTGATCTGTGTGTAAGAAGATGGCAGCACTCTTGTTCAGTTGTGTGAACTTAGCCAGACACAAAACTGGTCATTTGCTAGAGCAGTGTAGGGGAAATTGATGTATGTATTGATAAAATTGGCAAGCCTGTAAATGATATCGGCAGATAAACATGATAGATTAAGTATATATTTATTTCTTATTAGTTTTCCAAGTTAAATACATTTTACAGCTACTTGTTAAATAACAACACCACTAGTATCATTATACATTTCCTTTTTGACAAAAAGCAGTTTTTATTTAAAAAGATTTATGTATTTATGCATGTAAAAACTGGAGTACAGGTCAGAGGTGGGAGCAGGGGTAAGAGGATTCACCAGAGTAAGAGTGGGGAGCAGAACAGGCAGATGTACTGAAACACACTGCTGAGGGGAGCAGGGGGTGGGTCTGGAGAGGTCTGCTGTGTCACATGAGTCACCTCCCTGGCCAGAGATCGAACTTGTGCTACAGTAGCTGCGGCTAGCTTCATAGTGTTGTGCTTTAACCTGTTGCACCACCAGAGAGGGCCCAAAGATAACACTTTTGAAAATGATGTAGCATTGAATAGTTTTCCAGTAGTGCTAATGATATCCTGATTTATGTGTCATGTAACTCTCCTTATGGTGTTTACTTGTGTGGTTGGACTGTGTTGCTCTTGGTGGCTGTTGGATAGATAGAATTTTAAGCTACCTGACCCACATGGCAATAGAGACAGGTCCATGTTCTCACAACTGAAACTTGTGATGGATAAATATGCACCAAGTCCACAATACAGAGCAAATGCCTATTAGGGTCATAAATTCATTTCAGCCTCCAACATCAAATTGACATCTTGTTCAGAGTAACTAAGAGCGAGGTGAAGGTATTCCTGTGTGTTAATATTTAGGTAGCAATAATGAGCTGTGAAATTTTCAGACATCTGAAAACTAACTCAGTAATCATGTGCTAGGGTTAAAGTTGACTCTGGAATTTGTTTCACTGCTTTTTAATAAATAAATAGTTGAAGAAAGATTTGGCAAAAGGAAGAAACATTCCTCCTTGTCCTCATCCTCTTAGGAAAGTGTCTCCTGTTATTTGAATGTTTACTTTGCCTTGACTGCTTACCAGTGGGGTGGCGGTTCTTACCCATTAACCAAGTGAGAATTCAAATAAACTGAAAAGTGCTTTCACACAGCTGGCCCCTCCTGCCAATGAGTGGAATCAAAATATCCTCTCCCATTGTGTAAAAGAGAAAAAATGAAAAAGGGTGTTTCTGAATTGATAAGTGTGATCAATTGTATCAGTTACTAGAATTGCAAATTGAATATGCACATGAATTTCTCCTTTCTAAAATGTTACTAATACTGCCCTATTCTTACATTTTATTGTGTTGCTTATAAGCATAAATGAGATCACACACTCCCTTTAAGATATCCTCTGCATAGGCCCTCCCTGGTGGCGCAGCTGGTTAAAGCACAGCAGTAAGAAGCTTAAGCCACTTCCTTATGAGTTCGATTCCCGACTACCCCGGAGGAGATCCACATGGCGAGGCAGACCTCTCCTGACCCGCCCGCTGCTCCCCTCAGCAGTGTACTTCGTTAATCTGCCTGTTCTGCTCCCCTCTCTGTCTCTGGTGAATCTTCTCACCTCCGCATCTCTGGCCTGTACTCCAGTTCTATATGCATAAATAAATAAATCTTAAAAAAAAAAAAAGATATCCTCTGCATATTTGCCATCACATTTAGAATAAATGCCAACACCTCTACCACAGCAATTTGATCAGCTTAGCTTTCCTCTCCTTGGGTTCTCCTCCCTCACCACATGGTGTTTGGATAGTCTGCAGGCATGCCATGCTCACTTTATATTCTTTTTGTTCAAACAATCCATGAATCTTGAGTTTCCTATTTGGGGGGACAAAAATGGAAGAAAACCGGTAATACACATCAGCTTATATGAAGATTAATGTATAAAAAGCCCTGAAATGGTATCTGGCAGATGCTGAGCACCATATATATAAAAGTTAGCTCTTATTTTGTTGTTTCTGTTATGGATTCTATTTTAGGGAACATGGAGGAGGTATGCATTTTAGTTGTATTGAGTTTTAGAAATGCTTGTGAGATGTGCGAAAGGCAGTTTAACCTTCATTTGGAATGATTGATTCTGTATAATAAGCGGTATCTTACTACCTTGGAAGAATGAGCAAAACTTCTGACTTTAATCAAGTGCCTAGAGATTAGCTTATTGGGAAGATAACAATCATTAAGTGCCTTATATCTGACATACTGTATACAGAACTTTGAAGAAGAGGTGTGAACCTATGACTTAAATCATATATAGTATTATAAGCCAATGCTACTTCAATACAAAACTATACAAAGAAAAAATTCTGGTGACTTCACACAATAGAAGTCTTATTTTATGGTGTTCACTCCACGCCCAAAAATGTATACCATCATGCTCACAGCTCTGGCTATTCAGAGAAGATTCCAGCTGTTTTGGTGCTTTAGATTCTCCTGTTTTTCTCTTGGATGTCTTTTAGTGAGCCGAGGCCTGGTGTTGCTCGGGAAGTCTGTCCTGCCTGCTTCTGTAACCTGGCGCTATGCATCCAGACTCTGGGTCCTTACAGACACTGCTGTATGTGACGTTTGTGATTCTGTGCTCTCCTGTGAGTTCAGGTAAGAGTGGTGTTTTGCCTGAAGCTTTTCTTCATCTCAATCCTATAAAATCAAGCTTTGACTTTACTACTTAATTGACTATAATGGTTTCTAAACACATCCCTAAAATAAGAACCCCTGAGTCATTTAAGGACTTCGATTCATTACTCAATTGAAGGGTCTCTCGTTGCTTCCTGGGCATTAGCAGAGCTTCTCATCACTCTCCCTGTAATTTATCTCTTTCGTTGCCCTAAAAATAAATATTTTCCTGGGCCAACCTGGTGGTGCTCTCTCAGCACAATGAGGCTATCACCAGCCACTGCAGCATGAGTTCTATCTCTGGCCAGGGAGCTGACCCACATGGCATGGCAGACCTCCCCTATTTCGCCTGCTGCTCCCCTCAGCAGTGCGTTTCAGTAGATCCGCCTGTTCTGCTCCCCACTCTGTCTCTGGTGAGCCTCTCATCTCCTACCTCTCTGGTCTGCACCCCAGTTCTAGTATGCATAAATAAATAAATATTTTCCTATTGTACTTTTATCAATAAGTTTCTGAATTTGGTTATTAGAACAGGAATAAAATGCTTATTACTACATACTACCAAAGAGAAATTTTAGAATTTACATATAATAGTACTCAGGTTGGCATGAAGCATACTTGGCTTAAATGACATATTGACTTCAAACTTCATGACCTTCTGTTATTTGTTATCTAATTCTTTTGCTTGCTGAAAACTTAAATGTGTTTATTGTTAAATGTAGTTAAGCCTGAACCTAGTTCAATTACCCCCATATAATTTTTTTTGGATTTGTGTCAAGATTTATATAAAATATTATATGATGGTCATTTATGAGTAGTATTTATAATCTCTTAAAAATACTATATGGCTACATTAGATTTTATAAAGGAAAAGTGGTTCAGTGGTTTATGTTTTAGTTTTGCTAAACAACAACTTCAGATTCAGTTAATAGACACATTTAATCTTTATTTTTGATTAACTATCCTATAAAAGTAGACCCAGGCCCTCCCTGATGGTGCAGCAGGTTAAAGCACAACACTGAGAAGCTAGAGCCATTTCCACATGAGTTTGATTCCCGCCTGCCCGGAGGTGACCACATGGCGAGCCAGACCTCTCCTGACCCGCCCGCTGCTCCCCTCAGCGGTGTACTTCGTTGATCTGCCTGTTCTGCTCCCCACTCTGTCTCTGGTGAAGCCCCTCGCCGCCCCTGAGCCTCTAGCCTGTACTACCCCAGTTCTGTATGCACAAATAAATAAATCTTTAAAAAAAAAAAAAAAGTAGACCCAATCATTTATTGATTTTTTTTTCTCTTTTAACATTTTATTCCACCAAATCAGCAGTATTCCTGTCCCTTACCCCTTTTTTTGGATGGAGTAGGGGAATCCAGATTTATTTATTTATGAGTACAGAACTGGGGTATAGACCAGAGGTGCAGGGGGTTGAGAGGATTCACCAGAGACAGAGTGGGGAGGAGAAAAGGCAGGCTGACAAAGTACACTGCTGACAGAAGCAGCAGAGGAGACAGGAGAGGTCTACAGCACCATGTGGGTCAGCTCCCTGGTCAGGGATCAAACTCATGCCAGAGCGACTGCTGATAATTTCCCAGTGCTGCTCTTTAACCCATTGAACCACCAAGGAGGGCCCCTGTTTTGATATTTCAGTGTTAAGAACTCAAGTTTTAGAGGAACGAACATAACAAATGAAACTATTCCAAACATTAAAAAAAAGTTAAGATTAAGTACCCTATTTGGCCTTACACCCCAAAATGTATGGACTATATTTCAGCATAACTTCCTAACTTTTCTGATTTTGCTTTCTTGAAACTTGAACATTATTTTCTACTAAAGGGAAGGGTAAGGAAGTACTATAACCTTTATTTATGGACTAATTTGTTCTTAAAGCCAAATCTTGTTGGTAATAGAGCAGAGAATTCTTTTTATTTTGAAAGTCATCTTTAAGCTTTCAGATTCTTCTGTTTCTTAAAAATCTTGAAGTGCAATTTGCTATTTCTCATTTACAGAATTGGTATTTTATCTCACTTATAAGGATTCTTACCTATTTCACCTCACTATTAAGTCCTTGGTTAACATGCTGCCTTTTGTTCTCCCAAAATGGACTTATAAGAATGTTCCTTGAACTTTTATAGCTGTTACGCACCATAACATATCTAGATAAAATGTGGGCTTCTGCCATTAGTTAAAGATTCTGATGACATGCATTTAATGCACTCTTCCTTATTTTCCCCTTCCCTCTCCACCCCTGCCCGCCTGCCCTCCTTGCACCTGGGGAATGTTCCCTTGTAGACTTGGCACCTTACTTCAGTTCTGAGCCGCTGTCTGCTGTCCAGAAAGCTGGTGCGTCTGTAATACTGCATTGTTCTGCCAAACCTGTGACTACTCATATCTCATGGCTGCATAATGGAAAAAAATTGGATAAAAACATGGAACAGATTAAGATTCGTCAGGGGACTTTGACTCTCCTTTCCCTTGACCCCTCCCTTGTGGGTTCCTACCAGTGCATCGCTAACAATAGTGTTGGTGCAATTGTGAGCCGCCCAGCAACGGTATCCATTGCAGGTGAGTTCACTTTGGTTCCTGTTACCTGTGCTTTTCCCCGAAATCAGGTAATCCTTACATTTTGAATAGTGAAAAGAACTTGGGCTTTAGGGTAAACACATGGGGGCATTCTCATTCCAACTTTTACTTTGTCCTTGTTTCACTTGGGGAAACGTGCTTGAACCTCGGTGAGCCTAGCCTGTGACTGCATCTGTAAGAAGGATATGGGGATGATTTTGTCATAACAAGGACAGCTTATGAGATTTAAATTTCTTTGCTTAAAAGTCCTTAATTTTGACAAGAACAAAATTGCTGTTGTGTACTTTGACACCCCATTATTTCAAGTACTTCTTTATCTTTCACATTGAATTGTTTTATTTGCCTTGATTACTGAGTGATTTTAATTTATTTAATTGAAACCAGAAGAAAGAAGCAGGGGGAAAAACTGACTATAAAGAAAGGAATGTTGAGTATTGAACTTATGGAAGATCTGGAATGCGTGGTTTTCTTAGTAAGTTTGAGCCATCTGCCTTTCAAGCAGTGATGGCTTCCAGTAATGGAAAACTTCTTTGTAAGGGCACCCCTATTTACAGAACAAATCTGGATTCCCCAGGAGTAGTGAGTTTGTCATAACTGAGAAGAGTAAATGTTTTTGTAGAGCTGTGACCCATGGACAGCTCCAAGACACACACTGGCGGGCCGAGCGCCTGGTGGCAGGCTACTGGCTGCTCAGCACTGGAGATAGTAAAGAGCCCTCCCTGCAGGCTGCGTCTGCAGTCAAGTTCAACTGAAGGGGATTGAGACTACGTCCTACCACACATTGCTTTGTTTTTCGACGAGCTAGTTTATTCCCAAAAATCACTGCAACTGAGTAGCTACAAACAGAATAAAGATGCTTAGGAAAAGTGGGTTTTGATGAAGGGCTGAAGTGAAAGGGTTTATCTCGACAGAATAGGAGCAGTTATGTTTTATAGTTCTTCCTAATGTTTTAAGAACAGTCACCTGTCTTAGAGCCTCCTTGCAGCATTGACTTCTGGAAAAGAGTGCCAGGATTTGGCCCCAGTCCTCAACCACACCACGTCTCTCTCACCTGCTTTCTAAGATAAAAAGGTCATGCGGCTCCCAAACCACCATGCTGCAGATGCTGTTTTTAGTTTAAGTTTCCTTTGGCAAAGAGTATTCAAATTTCCATGCGTTTACTTGTCTACTTATTTGTTTACTTCTCCCTACTTCTTTATTTTAGTTCTTGGTGATTTTGGTTCATCAACAAAGCATGTTATTACGGCAGCAGAAAAAAGTACTGGTTTCATTGGCTGCAGTGTACCAGAGAGTAACCCCAAAGCTGAGGTGCGCTATAAAATCCGGGGAAAGTGGCTGAAACATTCTACAGGTGAGATTTTTCATAAAAAGTCAGTGGCATCCACAGAACAAATGTCCCTAAGCTCTGTGTGCCAGGGACTCTGGATACAAAAAATACCTACATATACTATCTCTACTCTCAGAAGTCAAGAAGAGACTAGAGCAAATAGTTATAATGTAGAAATGATTTCAGTCTCACACCCTCAGGGCTCACGTTCTCAGTTCCCTGGTGTCAGGTATCAGGTCCTTGTCCAGGAGAAGATTGCCCCTAGCTGGTGTCCACAGCATGGGCCTTGCTGGCTACTGTCTCCTTTATTTATCTTCACCCACCAGCGCATCCTACCCCACCCCACAGCATTGTGTTGTGTTAAGGTGTTTGTCGGTTTGTTACTTAATCCCTTTGTTTTGCCACCCGCTTTCCCTGCTGGCTGCTTGAGGGCAGAACCTTTGTCACATTTCCTCACTCTGTATCACCGACAGGAAATAGGCACTCAGGACTTCATGTTGAGAAAAAGATAAGTGAATGACAGGTGATCAGGGAGGCTTGCCCGAGTTGGCACTTGTCTGTGCTTTCGGTGTGCACTGAGAGGTCTGTTGCCAGTGTTTCTGATGGGTTTAGTATTTTCACTTGAAGTCTCCCCTTTATCTGAGACAGATATATTCCAGTGAGTCTGAAACTGCAGAAAACACTGACCCTTGTCTATACTGTGATGTTCCTACATATGCATCTATTAACTAGGCCAGTTAACAGAAGCTAATAATGAAATAGAAGAATTATGACCGTGCACTGTAATAAGGTTACATGAATGTGCTCTTGCTCTGAATGTTATTGTATATAAGATTTTTGACTACAGTTGATTGTGGTTAACTGAGACTGGAAAAGCGAGAGAATGGATGAGGAGAGGAGGCACTGGGACCCTGCTATTTGCTCCTTTTCTTTTCTGTCTTAATAGTCCCTTTTCTTCATTTAATGACTTTTCCTTGAGTGTGTCTTTGCTGCCCGTTTTATGCCTAAATTTAAACCGTAGCTATTAATCTCTGTTGGTTGTAGTTGTGTTGATGTCCTTCATGACGACAGGCCTTAACCACCTCCCCTTCCTTCCTCAGAGAATTACTTAATCCTTCCATCAGGAAATCTTCAGATTTTGAATGTTTCCTTGGAGGACAAAGGATCATATAAATGTGCAGTTTTTAATCCCGTCACACATGAATTAAAAGTTGAACCCATTGGCCAAAAGCTCCTTGTGAGTCGTAAGTATTTGGGAGAATAATGGTAACTGGGAAGAATTCTGAAAAGCATTCCTGACCAAGAAGCTGGGAAATAGAGTTCACTTTTTTCAGATTTTTGTTTGTGTCTCATAATCAAGTCTTATAAAAAATTTAATACATAAATGTATTATGGAATAGTATTGCATGTGTTTTAAAAGTATAGTGAATTTTTAGAAGGGCATTTTGGTTAAGGTGACATGTGGATAACTTTGTCCTTTATTCAATAAAAATAACTTATAGAGAAAATATGATGACAGTCAAATGATAGCTAGCTGAATTATGAAAAATATATGTTTGTTCTCTGTCACAGATAAGATAATAGTGATAACTGAGTTTTAGATGATGGTAGTTGAGTTGAGGTTAGCACAAGTACTAGTAAAAGTACTTGTGGAGAAATCTACATTTCCAAAGTGCTAATTCAGAAGGATCACAAAAACTAATTCTCAACTAAAAATGGTTTAGCTATCACAAGAGCGTAAAGAAGTATAATTGAGCCTGATAGTATAAAGAAGTGTTTTCACCTATATTTGACTTACAAGAAAATTGCACCCCCATTTCTGGAAAATGGGAAGTCTCAATGCTTTATTAAGGGAGGGAATGGAAGAGAATACTTATTGATAGTATCTTTTTTGTTTACTCTTCTTTTTCAGGTTCTTCTTCAGATAATTTTCACATTCTCCACCCTACCCTTCCACAGGCATTAGCTGTTCTTTCTCATAGCCCTGTTACCCTGGAGTGTGTAGTGAGCGGGGTCCCAGGCTCCCAAGTGTACTGGCTGAAGGACGGTCAGGACGCTGTGCTCAGAAGCAACTGGAGGAGAGTGTATTCTCATCTTGCCACAGATAGCATTGACCCAGCAGACTCTGGGAACTATTCCTGTATGGTGGGAAACAAGTCTGGAGATGTGAGACATGTCACTTACATAGTTAATGTGCTTGGTAAGATGCTACTTACTGATATTTTCCAAATCAGGCTGTTTTCCTGGTCTAACTGATGTTTGAGTGGAAGATCCATTTGTGAAATATAAATGAAACAGATTGTCCAGAAATATCCACAAGCTTCATTTTTCTAAAGGATGGCTCAGTTAGGCTTTATTTCTGGGAGGCAGAGAACCTGTCACTTGGGATGTACTTGGGAACCTCCCCCACACCCAAGTTGGTGACATGACTCAGATCTTATTCTTCCTTCTTCATACATGGAGAAGACAGATTAGAAACCAATAGAAGGGAAGATTCTGAATCAGTGGATATAGTATTGAGTTGCAACTAAGAATACTGACTAGAAAAATTCATTTAAAAAAGAAATTGGTCATTTAATTTTCTGTTTTGGAAGTTTTTACCTGTATTTGACTTATACAAAATTGCCCCCCATTTCTGTATATGTTCTTTGTGTCTCCTTTTAGCTGCTTAGCTCCCTGTCATTTATAGCATGATATGTGTTCCTTTATCACAACAGATTTTTTAAAAATAATATAATAATTATATTATAAAAATAAAAATAATATAATAGTTTATTTTGTACATGTGAACATCATTTTGTGCCTTTTTCCACCTCAGTTGTAATCCCTGTGGGCTTCCCATCACCACATCACCGTGTGCCATCACCATAGTCCAGTGCATTTCCCTCTCCCCACTGTTTTGATTGCATTACCCACTCCACCTCCAAAAATGTCTCTGGTATATAGCTGTTCATTATTATTATTATTTTCTCCCCTGGTCCGTTATACTCCTGCTATGAAACCATCTGGTATTTTTCCTTTTCTTTCTGGCTTATTTCACTAAGCATGAGCCCTTTCAGCTCCATCCATGTTGTTGCAAAAGGCATGTATCATAACAGATTTTTATGAAAAACAAAAATGGGTAGTAAGTTGTGTCATAGTAAATATGATTTTGTAAATCTTCTGCATGTGTTTTTTTTTTTTTTAACAAGACTTGAGGTAGATTAGACTGGAATTAATAAAAGCATATGGCAAATGGACTTTAAACTTTAATGACAAGTTTAAAATTTATAATTATTTTATTTGGGCTTGTTATGCATGTCAATGCATGATTTACTTAGGTAAGTAACAGGTGTCTTGATGGATTTAAAGGAAGTTTTTGCTTATTGTACACCTAACCTCAAAGCATCATTGACCATGAAAAGAATTCAGTCTCCGAATAAGCATTCTTTAGTTTTGGTTCGTGTGTACTATGAAATCCGGGAAACGATTACTTTATTTAAAACCAATCACCTGACACAAATATTAAAAACCATGTTTATATATGGTTGTGTGTGTACTCCTGTGTGTTGGGGGAGTTGAGTGGCTAGTGAGAGCTCTAAAAATACACTATGACATACTGGCAACATATGGTTTCTCCTCCTAGAGGAGAGTTGAAATACATTTCTAATTTTTTCTTAATGACCACAGCAGATGGGAGAATGTGAGTAAACAATTTGGTTTCAGCTAGTAGTTATTGGTAGCAAGACTTTTATATGACTTGTGTGATAATTTAAAAAGTACGTCTTGAGGCCTAATGTTGAATTCTATGCTTTATTTCAGAGCGTGCTTCAATTTCTAAAGGGCTGCAGGAGCAGCGAGTATCTCTGGGTGCCACCGTGCTATTTACTTGTGATATACATGGGAACCCTGCCCCCAATCGCACTTGGCTTCATAACGCCCTGCCTATTCAACTGTCCCCAAGGCATCTGACTGCAGGAGATGTCCTGAAAATCAGTGATGTTACCATGGAAGATTCTGGGTTATATCAATGTGTAGCAGATAATGGGATTGGATTTATGCAGTCTACTGGGAGACTTGAAATCGAAAAAGGTAGGTGTTTAGGTCATGTAATCTTAGCAAATTTTACTTTTGTGGTGTTGAAAACTGAATTAATTTTGCTAAAGGGAAATGACACCATCACAATAACAGAATTATGCTAATTTTTCTTTATTCCTTTCTAGTTGTAGCTGGACATTTCCATGAAAAGGCCGCCTTATTTAATCAAGTTCAATAAATTAAAAAAAAATTTTAAACAGATATGACTCCGCTTAAAAATAAAATTCTCTCAGTCCTATTCCCAACCAACCAGATATCTCTTTAATTCGTTTCCCAGATGTTGTTATATGTGCACATATAATCTCTTATACATAATGTGTATAAATACACACACACTTTGAAGATTTATTATTTATTTATTTATTTATGCAAGAACTGGAGTATAGGTCAGGTGTGAGTGGTAAGAGGATTCACCAGAAATGGAATGGGGAGGGGTGGGAAGAGTACATGAGTGAAGTTTAGTGGTGGGAAGTCCACTGGGAATACAATAGAGATGGGAAAATGTACAAAATGAAGAATAATGTAAAAAAAGAGAGCCAGAATAGGGAGCAGAATAGGTGGATCCACTAAAATACACTGCTGAGGGGAGCAGTAGGAGAGACAAGAGACGTCTGTTGTGCCCTGTGGTTTAGCTCCCTGAGGGGGGCGGGGATGGGAGATCAAACTCACTCCTAGTGGCTGGCTCTAGCTTGATAGTGCTGAAACTTAATCTCTTCTGCCACCAGGGAGGCCCTAAGTACATATATTTTAAATGTAGGTGGTAGTAGCATTCTTAACTCTGAATGTCTCAGTTAACAGATGCCTTGGAGATCTCCCATAGGTTCATTGAAGAGTATTTTCATTTCTTTTTCAAAAATGTTGCTTAGTATTCCAGTATATAATTGTAAAGATTGTACCTTCTTGATAACTCTTTTTAATCATTTACCATTACAAGGAGTTTTGCAATGAACATTCTTCTGTGGAGACTATTTTATAGCACATGTATGAATATCTGTAAAGTAAGTTCATAACAATGAAGCTTCTAAACATATAGTAGTTTTGATAGATTTTACTGAGTTACTTTATAAAACTGTTCTGTTCTCCCACTAGCCATGTATCACTGCCTGTCTCCTCATATACTCATCAGTGCAAGGTGTTGTGAATTTTTTTAATCTTTGCCAATCTGGTAGGTTCAAAATAAGTACCCTTTCATTTATATTTCTTTTATTATGAGTGAATTTGGCCAGCTCTTCATGTTTATGAGTCATTTGAATTTGTTTTCCTGTATATTAATTGTTCATTTTAATAATTAGGCTGTTAATTTTTTTCTTAATGATTTATGGTTTTTTTTTATATACTAGAGAAACTAATCTTTTGTGTATGTGTTATATTATTTAAGATTTCAAAGAATCCTATAATGATTTATAGAATTTTTTTATATATTAGAGAAACTAATCTTTTGTGTGTGTGTTACATTAAGATTTCAAAGAATCAACATGACACAGACCAACTTTTGACCTTAGTAGAGTGGATTTAGAAGTGAATAATAAAAAAATACTTTTAAGTCAACATGTAATTTAAAATTAGACTTCTTAATAACTGGGTCAAAAATATGATGATAATAATAATAATAATAATAATAATAAAGTAACAAACCCTGGAAATCTGACTTACGGAACTGAGGTCACCAAGGGGGAGAAAGAGGCTAGCTCAGTGTGGGGAGGGGCACAGTAGACTGGTGGGGGCAGACTTTCAGTGCTTTGGTGGTGTGTGGTTGGGGATACACACCTGGACCTCTAAATCATGTATAGTGTTGTAAATCAATGCTACAGCAAGGAAAACATAGCTGAAATTTAAATACTTTGACAAGGAAAATGCCACAGATCAAATTGCATGGGGTATAGCAAAAATGAAAGTTTAGGAGGGATGATCAGCTTTAAATGCTTGTGAAGCAGACAAATAAGCCTGAAAATAAGTAAGTAAAAGAACAGAATAGAGTCACAGAGAATAGAAGAAAGGACATAATAAATAGAAAGGCAGAAATTAATTAAATAGAAAATGAAGATAAGCAGAGATCATCAGAAAAAATAAAAGCTGCTGCTTTGTAAAGTCTAGTAAAATTGTCAAGTCTTTGGTAAAACACAAGCAATAAAGAATAAGAAGGGACTGTAATCTCTATATGTCTTGTAGAGATTAAAATGAACTGGTGAATTTTATGCCAATGATTTACAAATATAGACAGAAGTGGGAAAATTATTAGAAAAACTATACCTTAATAAAACTCACTTAAAATTAAAAAACAAAAAAAGCCTGAATAAGACTATGTTTATGAAGGAAACTGATTAGGAGTTAAAAAGTCTTCTCACAAAGAAAACATCAGGCCAGATGGTTTTATGACTAGTTTAGCCAACACAGCACTCCAAATAATACACAAACTCTTCCAAAGAAAAGGAAAAAATGGAAATTCTACAGTCCATATAATTTGGGTTCCAAAATCACAAAAGAATGGTATATAAAAAAGGAAAATGAAAGGCCAGTCTGGTTATGAATATAAGTGCAAAAAATCCTAAATAAAATATTAGCAAGGCATCAGTATATCAAAAAGTTATCCCAGTAATCAACCAAAAAGTTTAATTAGAAAATTTAAAGCCATTCATAGTATTTCTTTTTAAAAGATGAGAAAAAGAATGTTATTCTCTCACTACAAACAGAAAAAAGTTTGACCTAATTCAGTATCCATGTGTGGCCCTCATAAGAAAACAAAAAACTTGATGAAGAATAGCTTATGAAAACTTAACAGAAAAAAAAAAATGTAAAGGTGAAATGTTACGGGTATTCCTTTTTAAATCCCTTTTATTCATCATCATACTGGAGATTCTGACCAGCACAGAATAAAAAGAAAAAGAAATAAGAGATATATGGATAAAAAAGAAACTAAATTATTAGTTTACAGCTTCTATGATTGTCAATATAGAGAAACCTCAGTAGTTCGCTAGTGAATACTGTACCTGAATGTGAATCTATAGACCAATATCCTGGGTAGATTTCTTTAGCGAAACAAAGCCAGTGTATATAAGATATACTTAGGAAGAGATTTAATATAGGAAATCCCATGGTCTGTATGCAGGGTGGGAAAGGCGGAAAGCCAGTGGCGTGAGTCAGTTGTGTGGGTAGGAAGGAAGGAAGTTAATGGTGTAAGTCTGAACCTAAGTCTTAAAGCCAGAAAATCAGAAGTGTTAATGTCCAGTGTCTTTGGGGAGGAAAAAATAGCCCAACTCAAGGAGAGAGAAGACAGAGGGCAAAAAAAAGATTGATGTGAATATATTAAAATGGAAACATCCTCATTATTATAACATATTATTAAAATGAAAATAAGCTGGGGAAGATCTAGTAGCATATATAGCTAACAAAAGAACAACCCCTGTATCTGGTATCCACAGTCAGCTCTGAACCATTACAAGAAAGATAAATGGCCTAATAAAAAAATGGACCAAAGGGGGGAGGGAACATGTTCATCCTCATTAGTGCGCAGTCTCTGACCAGTCAGCATTCTGATACCTACTGGGTGGGTTAACATTCAGGAACCTGGTGATGCCAAGTATTGGTTACTTTTGTCACCTTAGAGCTGGACGGAGAATGCTAAGAGAGATGAGTCTGAGTGGTGTCACTCATACATGGAACACAGAGAAACTAAAGGAAAGGTCGGAGAAAGCACGCTGATGACAGACCCTGGAAATTTGACTATAGAACTGAGGCTACTAGAGTGGGGGAGGGGCGAGAACAAAGTGGCAAAGGAGCACAAGGGACAGTGGGAATGGATGGGGGTGCTCTGGTGGTGGGTGTGGGGTGGTAACATGCCTCTACTTCTAAAACACACAACGCAAGGCAGTGTTACTTAATTCAGATAAAGCAGGAAGTAGGGGTGGAGAAAGAAAAAGCTGCGCTGGAGAAATGTCTTTTGTAGTCAATATTCGAGTGTAGGTGCAGGTAACACTAGCCCCAGAGAATCCCTGACACCAAAAGGAAAGAATTGGGGCCAGTTTACACTAGAAGCAAGAAGTATGTTTATCCACTTTCATTCAGAGCAGGTTTTCTCCCAGGCTTTTCATAATCAGATCTACTTACTTCCCCCAATGAATCGACTATTTAAACAAGAATCTTGTTTAGTTCCATATTCCTTTGTACCCTTTTCTTGTTAAAGTCTCAGGTTTCGGCTTCACACATTCTGTATTTACAGCAATCACCTGTATCTGGGATAGATCTTGGAACACTTCCACGGATGACTTTCTATACGTTTCTTTCTTTCTGAAGGGCAGGAACTGTGTGGGAAATGTCTAGGAGCCCTGTAACTATGAAATACTCTTTCATTGACTATTGTACTTGGTGGAAGTTGAGAAGTAGGCTAGCAGGAGAGGGATTCTCTTTGTTCTCATCATCAGAGTAGCCCCCCTTATCCTTGGGGGGATGTATTCCAAGACCCCCAGATGATGCCTGAAACTACAGACTGTACTGAGTACTGTTTTTCCGACATATGGCATGGTAAAGTTTAGTATGTCAATCAGTTTAAGATCTCAACAACAACAACAATACTAAAATAGAACAATTATAGCCATATACTGTAATAGTGAGGCAAATGTGGTCTCTTTCTGTCTCAGATTATCTCATTATATGTATTTTTAGGCCGTGGTTAACCACAGTTAAATGAAACCTCAGAACGTGAAACCATGGAGAAGGAAGACAGCTACACTGTCATTACTGTATCATCCTCACTCATGACCTTTCAAACACTGATTTCAGTGGACGAATATGTCCACCACACTGTGAGGCGTGTAAAACGCTGTTTAGAACCCCATGCATGGAAGACAATTCCAGACTGTTGCTTGCACGTGACGTTGAGAACATTTACATAGTAGGGTGAGATTGTTTGGCATCATGCATGATTGTTTTGTATGTGGATTACTTTCTAACAGGCAGTGGACGGAAGCCAGTGATAATCACAGCACCAGCAAGTGCGAAGGTGGTGGATGGAGACTTCTTTACTTTGTCCTGCAATGCCACTGGAATGCCAGTTCCAGTCATCCGTTGGTATGACAGGCATGGGTTGATAACCAGTCATCCGTCTCAAGTCCTGAGATCCAAATCCCGAAAATCACACTTACTGAGACAGGGGAGCTTGGACCTGGAGCCTGCCTACTTCGTCATGTCCCGGGCTGGCTCAAGCTCTCTGTATATCCAGACTGTCACTCAGGAGAATGCCGGGAAGTACACCTGCGAAGCTACCAACTCACATGGCACCACACAGTCAGAATCAGTCCTCACAGTTGGTGAGTTGCTGTTAGTGTTTTTTCTCAGGTGAACAGTTTCCCTTGATTGTTGGGGATAAAGTTTGTTAAACCAGCCAGCTCTAAATAAGGTGTGTATTTTTCTGGTGACAGTGAAATGTCTAAGTGTGCTTTTTGTGTGTGATTGGGCCTTCCCTGAGCCTCTGTCTCCATTTATGATGTGTTTCTTTTTTTCTTTTTAAAGATTTATTTATTTGTACATACAGAACTGGGGTACAGGCCAGAGGTGCAGGGGCGGTGAGAGGATTCACCAGAGACAGAGTGGGGAGCAGAACAGGCCGGCTGATGAAGTACACTACTGAGGGGAGCAGCGGGCGGGTCAGGAGAGGTCTGCCGCGCCATGTGGTCGCCTCCGGGGCAAGCAGGGATTGAACTCATGTGGAAGTGGCTTTTAGCTTTTAGTGCTGTGCTTTAACCCGCTGCGCTAAGAGGGAGGGCCCTATGATGTGTTTCTTTCACTTGCAGTTGTTATATAGAAAGTTCTCATTTGGGAGCAAACCCTAAGACTTAACTTGATTTCTGAGGTTAATGCTTTTGTGGTTTTCTAAGCTGTTCAAAATGTCATTGCTGATATTTTCCAGGTGAACCCTGGATAAGTAGGCAAAGTGGAAAGTTGGCTTTCATTAAGGATGTAGTCGTCAAGCTGTCAAGCATTACCTGTGTGTCTCTCCCCTGCCCATCGTAGTCGTAGTTATTTTGCTGATGGAATGCATGTTATTAATTCTTTATATTTTGTTGATATTTGGTGATAGTGGCTTAAAATTTATATGTTTTGAAGTATTAGTAGATGGAATGTTAATCCAATTCGAATCAATTCAAATTTGCCTTAAATTTCAAATTCAAGTTTTGTGTCCGCCTTCAGAGCAATGTTCCCAAGGAATAGCGTGGTCATGCGGCGGCTGAGTGTCACAGGGCGTTGCCGCCCTCAGTCTCGGCACCTGAGGTCCCTGCGCCGGGCCTCTGAATTGGAGGGCTTCTTGTGACCCTTGGCGCCTTGGGCTTCAGGTTCCACACATAAAAAAAGTTCATGAAATCAAAGGGCTGTGTTTACCTCGAGTGTGGAGCCATGTTCTTCTAGACAACAGGTGGGGGGCAGCAGAATGTGCTGCTTTTATGAGCTCACTGCCCGGCTGCACACAGGTCTTTCCCCAGATCTACCCTCCAGAGTGTGGAGCCTCTGACCAGTCTACAGGAGCCCTGAACCCAGAGCAGTGGCCAGAGGTCTTTGACAGAGGTGTGGGGATGCATTCGCATGCATACTAGGACCTGTGGCCCTGGAGGAAGCTGGAGGTAGGCAGAGAAGTGGGGAGGCCAGAGACTTCGTTTACATTCTTGTGCTACTCCTTGAATGCCAGAGGTGGAGCCAGTCAAGGAGTTTTGTAGCCTGGTCAGGTTTCTCTGTGCTGCTGCTTGTTTCACCCAGCAGGTGTGGCGAAGAGGCCTACTATTTAGGGTTGATTTAAGAATTTAAGGGGTAAAGTGCTTATAATGGTGCCTGGCAATATCAAGACTTCAGTTCCATCAGAATTATTGCTAATTGTTATGAGCTATATTGACATGTATTATAAAAATGATTTTATAATTAGCCTATGGAAGTGTTTAGGGAAGAAATAGCCACTGGTTGTAGTAACCTGAAGAATCCTCAAATGAAGGCACTTGAATGCTGTATAAATCTATACACATATGTGTGTATAGTCTGCCAAGCAAAAATAAGAGTGGCTCTGTTCAAAATTGTTAGCTGTAAGACAGGTGTATTGCAGGTGTTGCTTGGGTAGCTTTTAGCTGAAATCACTATTTTATGTAAATATATAGGGAGCCAAAGGCATCACAGTGGTAGCTGATGGAACCCAATTCATTATCTAGCTGCCTCGCTTGGAATATGAGCTCTCTGAAGCCCTTAGAAAATACATAAAAACCTTGTTTTGGTCTTCAAGAGTCCCCCTTCCAGGATTTTAGTCTTGATAAATACCCTTTTGTTTATCAGGGTGTAAGGAACCCCATTAGCTGCATCCTGCCTGCTCGGTCCTTATTGCCTCTTGTACCTGCTGTGTGCGTATTAGGAAGATGCAGCTGACTTTCTGAAAGCTCAGGCAGGCTCTAACAGCCCCTTTTGTGCTGTGGGAAGTGGAGCCTTATTAACTTCTAGCATGTTGTTAATCATTTACTTGACTTACTGTAATGGGGGTAGTAAGATTGGAGCAATGGCTCCCTGTCCCCAAGGCCCTCCCTTCCAGAGACTTTTAGTTTTCCAGGTCTTGGATGTATAACTATTTGTAGAGAGAGTTGTAGCTCTTCAAAATGTTAAGTTGCTCTGCGTTTCCTGAATGGTTTGAAATGGGAGTTACTGGCATGAGTGGGCACAGATTGGTTATATTCCCCATTTAATTAGTTCCATTCAGTCATTAATTTGTTCCATTGCTATAGTTATACTGAGAAACTAGAGTTTTATCAGTCTTTTATTGCAAATTAAAAAAAAAAATCTTACCTTTAAAAAGTGCCAGATGTCTCTTCTTACCCTTTCACCCAGTTTTGAAGCTCATTGAGATAACATATGCAGAAAACAATTAGAGTATTAATTTAATTTGTAAGTAGTGTCAAATTGAATATGGGTGCTTAATTTAAATTATTAAGAGTTGGAGAGCAAAATTAGTTAAACCCCCGTTTGCATACAAGTTACAGAGAAGTCTCCTTGCATCGTAAATAACGGAGGTGGACTTTCGATGCTCCTAGAAGCAGCCCTGGCTGTAGTGTCCACTTCTCCTCGGGCTTCTGTATAAACTGAGGCATTGTGGTATTTTAACTCTCCTGAGCCAGATACCACATCCCAGTGGTAATCTGCCTAGAGAATCCGTGAAGCTTCCAGTGACAAAAGGGCTGTCCCTCTACTCTGAGCCACAGCCAATCACCTCCATTCACTGTTGCCTGCTCACCCCCGTCCACCCAGCCCACACTCTGACTCACTCAATCAACACGGCTGTTCCAGGAGCAGTGTTTTGCAGTTGTCTCAGTGAACTTCATTGGTTTTCTCCCATTCTTCCCCCCCCCCCCCAATAGTTGCTTGTTTTCTTAGATGGAGATGCTTCTGGGATACCTTTTCTCTCTTTCAAACAGAGAACTGGCCTTACCCGGTCACTCCTACTTTCTGGTGGTTCTGTACTAAACTGTAGGTCTCCGAAAAATCACACCCACCTTTTACAGGAATCTGACTTCATTGTGGAAAAGCAACTGTAACGTTTCCTCTGCTCTTTTCCTCCAAAAAAGTAGTCAGAAACAGGAGACATTTTGTTGCCAGAATTAGTAACAATATTAGAGAAGCCAAGTTGTCAATCCTTAAATTTATTTTATTGCTCTGGCAATGTTTTTGTTTTCATAAATTGTGTCATTTTTTCACTGTAGCACTCCACATATTCTTCTGCCAATTATTGCTTACTATCTTAGAATCCTGCTTCCTTCATCTGTACAAGTCGCAGTGTTTCTGTCGACCTAGAAAGATTTAGAGAATTAAATGAGACTATGTTTATTAGGTATCTAACACAATGCTTGGCACATAGGAGCTCAATATTTTTTTCTGGATTGTGTGCTGCCTATTTTTCTAGCGCAGATTACTTTTATCTTTGTTCTGTATGCCTTTAGTTGTAAGTATTAAGGCTGTCTGCTTCTTTTTTCTGTCTTTAGATTGGCAGTTAGAAATACGTAAACTCTTCTTTTGTCTTTGCAGTCTTGTTCCATGCCTTGCCTCTTTCTGATTGTAGACTGTTTCCATGTGTAGGATAGGTATTTAAAGTATTGCTACATAACTACTCAAGGGTTAATGACTTAAAGCATTATCGCTTTATTATCTCCTAGAAGTCTCTGGTTAACTGGATGCAGCCAGTCAGTTCTACTGGCCTTGCTTGGGTTCTCGCAAGTGTGCTAATCAGATGATCTTTGGTGCTGGACCATCCACACCACTTCACTCTCAGGTCCTTGTGAAGGCACCACCTACCCTCACAACGCTCTCTCTCCCCTTAATTCATCTATATGTAGCAGCATAAACATGTAAGTGTCAGGTTTTCTTAAGACTTAAAACAGAGCAGGCCCTCCCTGGTGGCACAGTGGGTTAAAGCGCAGCACTTTGAAGCTACCCACAGACTCTTCAGTCTGAGTCCGATCCCTGCCCTGGAGGTGATCCACATGGCCAGGCAGACCTCTCATGTCTCACCCACTGCTCCGCTCAGCATTGTACTTCGGTCAGTCTCCCTGTTCTGCTCTCCACTCTGACTCTGGTGAGTTCTCACCCCTGCACCTCTGGCCTGAACCCCAGCTCTAATGCATAAATAAATAAATCTTAAAAACAAAAACAGAAACTGGAGAGCAAACCTCCCTCCTGCTTTCCATGGTGAGCGCCTGTTACAAGGCCAGTCTAGAGTCAGCCCAAGGCATCCTTGGACACTAGTTCCCCTGTAGGTACTAGCCTGCCTCTCAATCATGCTCTCGCCATTTAATTCACTTTGTTCCCAAGAGGGAGCACTACTCATTGTGTTTCACCAACAATATTTAAAGCTCCATGTTCTTCTACTTAAAGTCTTCTGAGGTTAAACTAACAAGTTGTTCTACTACAGATGTAGAACAAGGAAAACAAATTCTGTAAATCAATAAATGACTGCATTGTGAAATTTCCACACAGTTAAGTTGTTCCTTCATCAACAAGACTGCTGCTAGAAAGTCAATGTTTCCATGAATTACCAAGTAAACCGCGACCCGTTTTAAGTTCTAGGGCTCACCTGTGCTAACAGCGTCAGTGCGGGCAGTTAGATTGCTGTTCAGACACCTTGCAGTAACGGATTGCTTTGAGTGTCCCTTTCTTTCTCTTTCTCCCTTTCTTTGTAGTTCCTTATGAAACAAATACAAAAGCAGGAACAGTCACACCTTCAGATGCCACTCAGAATGATGGAAGAGATGGTTCAGAAACTAGGTTATTGAGCACATTTCCAGCGAAGGAACATTCCAGTGTGGTGGAGTCATCTCCAGAGAAAAATTCCAGTGGTGTCTCAGTCCCTGATGCCCCCATCATTCTGAGCCCCCCACAGACCCACACAGCAGACACATACAGCCTGGTGTGGAGGGCTGGGAAGGACGGCGGCCTGCCCATCAATGCCTATTTTGTGAAATATCGAAAGGTAATGTCTTCCCCTTGATCATCTTCCTCTTCTCACACCTCGCGTGTATAGCATATACTGTCTTTTACATTGGTGGAGTGGTGGGAAATGGGACAGGAGTCCAGGATTTTGGTTTGGGGGAGAGAGCCCAACACTCATGCAGGATTCATCAGCCTTATAAAAACGGTAAGAATCAAGTATGAATAATTTCCCCCCAAACTGAGATTCTGATAACCTGGTACCATCTTGACTTCTTATTAATCAAGCATTTTTGCACTGTGGGTATAAAATTCAGAAAACCATTTTTTAAAAAGTTATTCCTCCCCTTTCTAAGATTGTAGAATACAATTCATTTAGCAGGTCAAGCAGTTTCTATTAGAAACAACGGTTTGAACAAAGTCTGGAGTCATCTCTAAAAGTCATTTGCATTTCAAGTTGTTTCCTTCATTGTATTAAAAACTTGTATTGTGTGGCCACTTTGATTACTTATCTATGGAAAACGGAGGTCCTCTATTAATTGACTTATCAGGTGTCTGTCAGTTGAGTTCTCAGGTGTTTTTTCTTTGGAAACTTGTATTACAGTGAAGTGAAAAAAATCTTTGCTCTTTGTTTAGTGAGACTAGTAAAGGAAAGAATAGGGAACAGATGTAATGCACTTCTGTATATATTTATGGGTTATCACTAGTTCACAGTGCTGTAGATGACGCTATGATTTAGGGGTCTAGGTTCACACCACTTCAGATGTATGTCACATCACACCCAACACAGAGGACCACAGTCCTTCACCGAAGTGAACTGGACCCTCTCCTGCTGGTAGTCTCAGTGCGGTTTGCTCATATTTCATATTCTTTGTCCAAGATAACTTTGGTATTCATCATTTAATAGTTATATTTTTAAATCTAGAAAATTCACATGATGGTATTTGAAAAGTTACCCAGTGTTTCTAATCTGATGATTCTAAATGATGAATTTTTTTTTGCATGAAAATCCATGAACATTGTCTTTTGGCTCCATAACCAGGACACAGGGGACTGGGTCTCCATTCTAGCCAATAAACATTTCAAGATGTGAAACAGGAATGCTGAAATATGTGATACATAATTGTACAATTCATAAACATACAAGCACATATAGTTTATATTCTAATGTATTGTACATCATGTATGTTATATATTGTTATTAATACATAGGATTGTATACTTACTTTATCCTCTCGATGGCCCAGTGAGAAGGGAGTGTTGTTTCCATAACAAGTAAAGGAAATATGCTGTAGAAGGGCAAGTGACTTGCTTAGTAACTTGTGAAGCCAGGAGTCATTTTACAGTCAAAGCTACCAAGGTCTGTTTCACTTAGTGTGGTATGTCGCATCCCAACATTCCTCTAGAACTGAACTGTTTCTAGTTTTTATCAAATGTGAGTGGAAGGCTTTCTAGTCCTTTATCGCCTCTTTTTAACAACTTGACTTCTTTGGAGCAGTTAGATGACGGTGTTGGCGTGGCGGGAAGCTGGCACACTGTTCGGGTCCCAGGAAGCGAAAATGAGCTCCACCTAACCGAACTGGAGCCGTCTAGTCTCTATGAGGTTCTGATGGTAGCAAGAAGCACAGCAGGTGAAGGGCAGCCTGCCATGCTTACCTTCCGAACTAGCAAAGGTGAGTATGGTCTGTCCTGGAGAAGAATGAGCTGGCTGTTGTGATAGCACTTTATTCGTAGATCAGAGTCTCTTAAATATATTCGCTAAATATGCTCTCATAGTGCCATGTTTGCACGGCTGTATTATTCCATCTAAGCTAATATTCTCCAAGTAATTTTGAGAGCTTAATGATAGATAAGGCATTTGGGTAGGTGATAAAGGGAAAACAAAGATGATCAAAGTAATGTCCATTCTAACAGAGTTTCTGCTTAGTTCAGAAAGGTCACACATGCACTTAAGTCTAACTACAAGGCAGAATTCCAGCTCAGCTAATATTTACTGAATTTCTTCGGTGTGTTGGTCAATCAGCAAAACACCTTACCCTCACGCAGTTTATATTCCAGTTGGGAGAGACTTATACCTAAATTCTAAGTACCTTTGGAGGTTGTAAGTGTTAATGAGAGAGGTGAGTCGGGGGGTGGATGCAGAAGTGAGGGGCATGGCATTGTCACTGTTGACGCAGGTGGCTACAGCTGTCAGAGAAGAAATGATAGCAGAGCAGAACCTAAAGAGGTGGAGTGGAACGCCACTGGGGGAAGGAACACCCTGCAGGGGGAATTACAAGTGCCTCGGGTGGGGTGTCTGGTGTGCCCTGGGGTCATGGTAATAGGAGTAAGTGAGGAGGCTGCAGGACTCTCAGGACTTGGCGCAGTCAGTACCCAAGTCACACAACCCTGGTCCATTCTGCAAGGACTTTGACTCCGAGGGAGCTGGAGGGATTGGAGGGTTTTGAGCAGAGTCACAGGGACTCCTCAACCCATGTCTGTTTCATGGGGTGACTCTGGCTGTAGGGAGGGGTCGACTAGAGGAGGACACAGGTGTGGGCAGAGAGACCGGAACATGACAGGTACTATGAAAGACTTGTGGAGACAATGCTGGAGTGCAAAGGAAGGAGACGCTTTCTGTGGGGTAGTTTATGAGGGCAGGTGTGGCTGAAAGCTGATTTCTTACTCTCACCATAAATGGGCAAAAAGACCCCAGTGAGCAGAGATGGCAACTGGGTGGAAGGAGATATGATTGATGATTGAGAAGGAATTAATATGTTGATTTTTAAAAAAGGTTTTTAAAAAAGGTTCATCTAATTGCTGAGGCTGACTAGAATAATGAGTGTTTCTTGCTTGAAAAGTACTTTGAGTTAATTTCATAATTAGTCCTTATTCATAGTGTGAGCTAATCGATGCTGAGTATTAACTATGTGTGTTCATTTAAAAGGTATCACCCATTTTCACCTTTTGCTTCTTGAAATTTTAGAACTAACATGACAGTTTTCCTGTGAAGAAACTTAACAGCTCTAGAATGATGAATTTTATGTTTTAGAATTAAGATTTATATATAATAAAAGGGTTTTTAATTAGGTGTTAGATTTTAGACACTGTAACAGATAAATTCCTTCCTTTATGTCCATACACTGGTTGACTTTCATAGTATCTTTTCTTATTTTGTATATGAACATAAGGTTATGTTACAATGTATGTTCTTTAACCTTTCTAGAGAAAACAGCATCATCAAAGAACACCCAGGCATCTTCTCCACCGGTGGGTGTCCCTAAGCGCCCTGTTGTTTCAGAGACTGCAGAAAATTTTGGAGTGGTACTTAAAGATTCCTCTAGGCACAGTGGAGGTAAAGAGAAGAATCTTCATTTCATTCATTTTCTTTGTTTACAAATGTAAACTGATTAGTTTCAGATTATTTAGGGAGTGGGACAGAACTGTTATTCAGATTATATGCTACCACATAGACCTACTAGGTTTTATTTCAACCATTTTTAATGTCTGCATTCAAATCTCAGTAACCCACTGACATGATCAGTATTTAAGATCACAAACTCAGGTTCTAAATATTTGGATAATAAGTTGTTAGAACTTACAAAAAGGGTTTTTCTGGCAAGGAAACTAAATATAAATAAAAAGCTAAATTCTGTCATGTTACATTATTTTGGTTTCAGGCAATGAAACTCAGCATAATGATTTGCTGTTTGTACATATTGTTGAATATCGTAATAAATCTGTTTACCATCTTTTCTTAGCAACTTTCTAATTTGTAATGCCATATTATTGATTATCATTCCTATACCATACATTACATCTCCTTGACATATTTGTTTTGTAACTGTAATTCATACCTCTGGACCCTGTTCATTTCATCTCGTCCTAAGCCTTTACCCCTGTGGTAACCATCAATCTATTTTCTGCTTCTATGATTTCAGTTTTGCTTTATTTGTTTGTTTCACTTAGTATAATATTCTCAGGATCCATCCATCACAAATGGCAAGGTTTCATTCTTTTTCACAGCTAAGTAGTATTCCCCGTGTGTGTGTGTGTGTGTGTGTGTGTG